GGCACCCTTGCCCTCGCGCCCCTTTCTCGTCGCGTATCCGATCGCGACACCGGAGATCATCCGCTATCACGGATTCTCCCTCTTTTTCCTCGCAGTCAGTTCCTTGTGGCGTATTTCCCGATAAAACCTGGCTTTATAGGGATTGCGTAACGCACGCAGAAACAAGTGTCTAAAAGCTTCCGTTGCATCGTTCCGACGGGCGCAAAGTTTACGAAGTAATCAGAAATCAGCGGTGGAGGAGCAACGCGCCGCGCTACACACATTTATGCGAGTTTGAAACTCCACCTTTGCAACCTCAATCTCCTCCTATTATAACGTCTACGACGATGAAACGAAAATATATATCTCCGGTGCCAAGTTTTCGGGGAGGGCTGAGTTCAGCGCGGGGCGCACAAGTTATTAGACACGTCCGCGCAATAAAATTATGTTTCGCCCCCCGTGTATCCACTTCCCCGTGACGGCGGGAAGTCACGTCGATTACGTGATGGCTCGTTGAGGTTGAATTTTTTTTTTAATCGTCCCCTTCTCCTCGGCGCCGTGCGTGCCCCCGGTTTTGGCGGGCGTAAACGAATAACCGAAAACGAGTCAAACAATTAAAACAATTTTAAATTCAAGCTGGAAAGTAATTAGTAATTCCTTCCAACCGGTCTCTCTAACTGGCAAGAACTTCGGACCTACCCTCTAATTGTGAGGAAACGAAGGAGGATGGGCGCGAGGGGAGAAAAAAAAAAAGAAAAAAAGAGAAAGAAAAGAAAGGAAAGGATGACATCCGCCGCCGGTGAAAGCGAAGGCACGTGTTTCAAGTATCTTCCGAGCGAGGAATCCTTGATATTAATTAGATGAGCTCGTAACTCTGAAATCGGAGGAGTAAGAAGCCGAACTTCGTTTGGGAGTTCGTTAAAGGAGTTACTCGCGTTCGTATGGCGGCGGATATCCTAACTCGCGTAACGACTCTTAACGCGATGGTCTCCTGCTTCGCGCCTTCTCCTCCATACTCACCCCTAGTAACGAACGGAAAGTTCCTAGCGTGAAACGCGTCCCTACCCTCGTGGATGCTCACAATTTGTTGCACGCGACACCCGACGCGTGTCGCGGAGTTAGACACGCGAGTCTTCCCGCTAGTCTTTTCGTATTCTCTTTCTCTTCCACTCTCTTTCTCTCTTTCTCTCATTTTCTCTCTTTACATCCCTGGCAAATGCCTTGCGAGAATGTTAACTTTAAAGCGCAAATTCTACCCTTTGAAAAACTTCCTCGCGCTGCAAAAACTGACCAAACATTCCACTCAGTCTTTATGGAGTCTCTGTTAATAACATCCTGATTCTCTCCTTTTCTCTGTTGTTGAAAACATGAAAATTGCTGTCTAACGCGCACAAATTAAAATATTCTTTAGTTTATATCTCTAGTCAGTTCGTTTCGCGAGATAATTAACGACGATGAAACTACTATCGAGGATGCGGCATGAATAGCCATTTGTTTCACCTGGTACAATACTCGCGTTGCTTTATTTTATTATTCTCTACGCGTACATTATGTTCAAAGTCAAAAAAGATCGCCATTACCGCGGAAACTTTTATCATAGAAAAATTTTTATTTCAGTCGGCTGAATTTTTGGCCGGAACAAGAGAAGCGCTCTTCGCACGCGTGCATTGCGTAAAACTAAAATAAAACTACCCCTAACGACGGCTATGATAGTCCGCGATTAAAAGAGCCTTGTGGCGCCATCTCCAGCTGGTCTTATGAACGTATATGATATGGAATTATCGACATATCAATCGTGAAATAACATTTTACTAATAAAAAAAAATACATTTAAAATCTAAAATACAATTTTACTGACGCGATATGGCAATTCGTTGTTAAAATATCGCGTCGACCAAACTCGCAATCCGAGAGAGAATTTCCCATCGCGTCCGTCTCTCGGGAAGAAGGTTCTCCTGTTTCTCCCTAAGATGACAGCAGCGGTCGCGGCGTAGCACAATATGGCCGCCCTGGTGTTGGCATCGCCATGGCAATTCTCTTGGCAGCTTCCTAACTGTCGCCTTTTTTATACATTTTACACGAGTTTTTCTAGTATCAGCGCCTAGAGCATAGATATAGTGTGTGCGTGCGTGTGCTATGATGTAATCACGGCGCGCAGAGGCGCCCGAAAAGATCGTCGTGAACGCCAGAGAACGCGGTGAGTGTTGTTTTCCGGATTCTTGCTCGCGCAAGGACTCGCGACGTCTCGCATCCGTCGCCGTCGGTGTTGGGCGTTCGGTCGTTCGGCTCGTCGACGAGGCTCGCGCCTTGGCTCGCTCGGGGATCGAACCCGCGAGGCCGAGCACGTGATACCGAAACGGCTGATCGTGCGGTGCGGTTGCGTGCTCTCGGCCCTCCCCCCCGAGATTTGTCATTCCTTCGTCCTATAATCTTGTATATCCTATATCCTCGTATCTCGCGCGTAATTTTTCTATTCTACTCCTGCCGAGTTTCGAATATACACGCGACACGGCCAATTCCTTTTTGCCGGTACGCGTCATGCGACTCGTCGTGGTTCCCGGAGAATTCCGAGAACTGGTCGTTTCATCAACCTTCACGTGACAGGATTGTATGCTCATAAACAATCGGAATTGTTTACCGATCATTCGACATCGATGACACTTGTGCGCGCAATCGTTGACGGACCGCGCAATGATTTCCTTCTCAGTGACAGGATACCGGCTGTCAAATATTCTGTCAAATCTCGTCTCTCCCCGAAAATGTTAAAAAATGAATCTACACAGATTTTAATGAAAAAAAATATTTTATATCTATATATGTTTATATCAAATGTGTAAGTTGAATTTTTATTTATATTTATTTAACTCGTGAGCAAATTACGCAAAATTAGTACGTAGAAAAGATGAAGGTGTATGAATTAAATGTATTTTCGTGTTGTGTTGAAACTAATGAAATATATGTATGTTTATATAAACTATATTTAGACACTTTTACCGGCGTCGGTGGATAAATGAACATCACCATGGTAACCCGACTCGTCCACGAGAGTTTCGCGTGTTGTGACAGCCGGCCAGAAGTGTTGAATAAGCGCGAGATTGAATTTCGCACGATTGTTCCTTGGTCCACATGACCTTCTTCTCCCCCCCCTGAATCATCGTTATCGCGCCGACAAACAAATTTTTCGCGTACGTATTGTTCCCGCCGATTCTCGAAAATCGTGTCGAACATTGTCATCTAGGATCGTCACAATGTGACGTGTGATTGCCGGTATTTGTAAACGTATTAGAGACACGCAGTTAACAATAGGAAGCGAAGCGTTCCACGAAGCGGCGGAGGAACGAATATTGATTTTTCCGCTGAAATTAACGTGTCTCCGCGATGTTTGCTTTCAGGGCGGTCTTAGCCACATTCCGAGTCTCTCTGAAAAGCGACACAGGTGCGTACCGACAGTGGCATCCCGCGGAGGGATGTACGAAGTATCTGTGCAGTAGCGACCGACGTAGCACGTACGTTTATTATCATTACGTTGTTCCTTTCGCCTTATTATTTTTCGTTGACCGCACATATAGAACGGAAAACAATTTTCGACGTCTGTATTATTGCCCGTTTGTTGTGTTTTGATTGCAGCCACGTTGAAATTGAAATATATTCTTGGAATTTAGTTTTTGTCCTCTTAGATATAGTCTACCTTTTGAAAAAAATATTTTTGATATAAAACTTTGTGATATTTTATTTTATATTGTAATAATATTTTAGTAGATGTATTTTTTAATCTGTCTTTAGAAAACATGTTATGATTATTCATGAAACGTTACAGCATATTGAGAGTGACTTTATTTTTACTTGTAGCACGCGCGACTTTAAGCTTTCATGATTGCAGATAGTGCCAAGAACATAAATCATATTTTTAATTAACTGTAGATGATAAAAATGTTATCAATATTTATATGTGCGGTCATTCTGTAGTTATTGTAATTTTTTTCTTTGTTTTATATATATATATATATATATATATATATATATATTATTATTATATAGTAATAAAAGTAAGTAGTGTATACATATATATATATATATATATATATATATATTTTGTGAATAATTCTTTTCCAATTTTTTTTTCAACACAATAAAGGTTTCAAGAACAATTAAATTTCATTTTATTGTTTAATTTAATTTGTATTTATATATATTTCATAATTTATTTTTATAACTATAAAAGGTCAAAAATAAGTATTTCACAAGTATATTACAAAATAATAGGAATCTGTAAACTGTATTACCGACACATATCGCAGCATAATATCTTTTCTGGTTACTTACAAGTGAAGGTAAGTCTTCGTACCGACAACAACAATATCGACTGTTCTAGATTTAGTCACAACTAGAGCTCTACCTTTATCGACTTGTAGTCTGTTCAATTGTCCTGTATGTCGGTATTAATTTTCTTAGTTATCGACATCTCCAGTTTCCATTTGATAAAATGGCGACCAACAATTTTCTACAGTCGAAGCAATCGCTATATTATTATCATAGAAAATCCTTGTGTCCTCTTATCGATAAAAAATGCATTATTCTGTAGTAATTTGCTAATTACTGAAATATGATGATGGTAAGCAATAATAAAAAATTGTAATAGTTATTTATTGTAGCAGATCAGATATTTTCACGAACTTGAAGGAAGTTTAAAGAAATCAGTTTGAGCAACACATTCGCACAGATTTATTTATGAAATAACAATCACTACTCAAAACTTTACTTATTTTGTAATATATAGTGATTTACCACTTTACTAAATATCGATGAAAAACTTTGAGCAATGTACTTACAGACACAATACATGAAAGAAGTTTATATAATCTCAGCGAAAAAATATTTTTATCTCAATTAATTATATTTCAAGTACACATACCATAGAACCTTTGTGATTCCTTCAGAAGAATAATTGTTCGCAACGGGATCAAAGTGGCTGGACGATTGATGAAAAGTAAAAGAAAAAGGAAAAGAGTTTACGTAAAGTGGAAAAGAGTTCACGTAAAGTGACTCACGGATGGGTTTTCACGTTTGCGTATACGTGAGCGAACTTCCGACTGCGTTGTAGGGTATTATTTTTAATCACTCAATAGTTCTCCCGAATGTCGAGTGCGAATCTCGAAGCCAATGCGATTATCCCGTAATTGGATTGCGTTTGACTTCCACCTGTTTTCATGCAGATACGCCGCGTTCGTTTCTTTTCACATCGCTAGTAGTGCCGAGGTGCCAATATCGTTTTTTTCCCTTCTGTTTTTTTAACGCAGCAATTCACGCATGTTAACTTTCTTTCAGCGACTCGACTTATAACAGTACAATCTGGTGTACCTCCCGATTAAAAAATGTATATTGTAAGTTACAAATATGTTTGATTGACTTTTATAAAAATAGTTATCATTTTCTTTGAAAAAGGAAACATGGAAAAAAAGAAACTTAAAAGCTATGACTCGCGTGCAAACTAGTTCTTGACTGTGGATTTGTATTAACGTCCTCTTATCCTTTTAAATTGACCATGAATCATGAATTCCCTTGTCGCGAGGGAGCATCTGGTCTCCGCGCTATATTGTGTCAAAGGGACGAGAGATCTCACGAGGGTAGTAAACCATCAGCCGATAATCGATCATGCGACTCGGTAGCCCCATTCATAGCGTGTATAAAAGAGATAAGTATCATGAACTTTCATCATCAAAGTGTGTGACATATAATCTTTTATACCAAAATATCCCTTGCCTTTTTCACGGTATGAATTAAGTTAGTCCATTACCTTCCTCTTCTCGCTTTATCAACTTTTGTATCGATAATTGAATATTGTCGAGTTTGCGCCGAGTGATTGTTTTCGCTACATCTCTCTCCTAATGAGACTTAATGATGTCCTCAAGTTTTTATACTCCGTGACGCGATCCGTCGTTGCGAAACATCTGGAAAAAGAGAAATTTCCTGTGGCTTTTATTTTTCTTCGTGCAGAATTCGAAGAAACTGTAATAAAGATATTGGGATGCGACAGTTTCCAACTCGCGGACGACATTAATGAAAAAGTGATTAATTTCAAGCGTAGGATGGCATGCTCGCTCTCTACTGTCGGACTTCGACCGCGTTGCCGGGTGAACTGCACCGAGAGGACGAGAGGAGTCATGGCGGACGGCAAGTAACTGACCGCAAAAGCGACGACGAGCTCTTTTATTTATTCCTGTTTTCTTTTACGCCGAGACCCCATTCGTTCATTAGACCCGACCGTCCATGCAACACGCTCGCGCAGGCCGAAGTTGGTGCAGAGTTTTCTCTCGGACCGCATGGTACATCTCTCATCCTATCTTCTCGCCAACTCGAAATTCCCTGCCTCGCTCGTTCCTCTAAACTGTCTGTTGGTCGTTCGTAGTAATTTGAAAATGTGATCACATCTGGATTTTGTTGGATATACGCGCTACCTCATTCTTAATAGAATAGAAGATTTATTTAGTCACGAGACGTTTTCTACAACGCAACATACAGCGCAATAAAGCGGAACATTCGTACTAATAAAGAAGCGAAATAAGTAAACTTGGCACGGGGAAACAAATTAAATTTACTGTGATTTTTTTGCATTGCGATTATTATTACTATTGTGCGTTTCCTCCTTTTATTAACTCCGCAAACATGCGGACTTTTGTTTCTCTAACTGTAAGAACGTTGAACTTTTCCATGGTTCATGCTCCATAGCTTTTAAGAACTTGCCCATTTCATTATCCCAACGTGCTTCGTTTTTCTTCCCTTTCGTACGACTAATTCTCGCACGCCTCGTCTGAGATCTGGAACGTATTTTCGCGGTGGGCCGGTCACGTTATAGAACTCCCCTGTTTCCATAGTCGGTGAGATTGGAAGCAACCGAGACGGAAATGAATCCGAGAACGCGTTTGATCTTAAACCGTCCGAACTATTTTTAATGCTGGTGCACACCGTCCGTCTGTCTGTTCGTCTTGCTTTCTCCTCGCGAAAACGCGGCTCTTTCATTGATTAATACACCGGCGGGACACCAGTACTTAAGCCTGAGGCTGTATGCATTTAATTACGTAATGTCAGACACATGAGAGTGTAGCTAAATAAACACGCGCGCAGCGTAGAGAATGCGTGATGTAGGAATTGACACAAGGGATGAGTGGTGGTGTTGGCGGCAACGGCGGTGGTGGTGGTGGTGATGGTGGTAGTAAGCAATTGCATCTGCGAATCTTTTGGTGCTGATGCTGAGTACTTTGGAGGCATGCGAAACTACACGCATCCGAGCCGAACGTCGATGTAACCAGTCCAGTTTGGGTATAATATTACAGCAGCAACGCCAACCTTTACCTTTCGCCCATTCGCATGTCTCCCTCCGTGGTTCCATCTTCTCTCTACGCTCTCTCTCTCTCCTTCTCTCTCTCTCTCTCTCTCTCTCTCTCTCTCTCTCTCTCTCTTCTTCCCTCCCTCTGTTCTCTCTTCGTTCCGCCCATCGGTCGCCCGGTACACCACCCCGTGCGCCGCTTGGCAGCTGCCTCTTCCTGCTGCTCCCGTGCTAATTAATTAAAGGACACCCGAGAGACGGCGTGGTCGTAGTGTAGCCGTAGCGAGAAAAAACATGTGCCAAAGTTGGCCCGTTTTTCAAGCGCCGTAATGCCGTTTCGCGCCGTCCGATTGTTTTAATATCGATCGAAGCGTTTCATACGGCGGGAAATAAACCGCGCGTTTGTCTCTTTTTATATTTTGCTGCCGTCCATAAGTCTATAAGGACGAATTACGAGTATAAATTGCAATTGCAGCATCTGCCGCGGTAAAGCGTTTAGCCCTTCCATTAACTCAAGGGGGTAATAAAATTACTACCGAGCGGGCTTTTCCACCGCGTTTTAATGCGCAAACGGTTTTCATCCCTTATACGTTACTCTCATTTAGCGATCGGAAACGTTGTTCGGCCCGATGTAAACGCGGGGAACGCGATGAGAAGGGAAGAAAATGCCATTTCGGCAAAACCGACCGACACGCGGTTTCATTACTGTCACTTAAGACTTAAGCCCAGCTTAAACTCCGCTCCAAGCGATCGTGGGATTTGCCGTGTTAAAGCTAAGCCACCAAGAAGCGTCGTGACGGTAAGGATACAACAAAACAAACCGCCATTCGCGCAGCATATCTAGACTTTTCACAAAACTCACTTAATATTACTTATACATAAATCCAACTAGATAAAAGTCCTAGTGGATTATTCTGTTTTTTTTTAATTACAATTACATTTAATTACAATTTCAATAGCCAGTTATTTGTTTGAACCGCAAATTGCTTTGTATAAATAAAGGTTATTAATTGCTTTGCGGATTTTTATTGTATTCTTTATAAATATTGAACACGTTTTTAATCTTTGATGTCCTATTTATAGATGTTCTATTTATATTATTAAACATTTAAACATTTAAACATTTTTATAATTAAAATCAATAATTTCAAACAACTGCGTTCGAATTATTGTGAAATATTGTGACAATAATTTCAAAAAACTAGGAATCGTGCAGCAGTTTATTTACTAATTTCTACAACGGATTAAATCGACTTGCATGTTAAAGCGTACAGTTGATGAAATTAGCGGCAGCAGAAGTAATAATTATTTACTAGGCTACGGTAATGAGATGAATTCGCTATTTAGATATATGTATGTGCGTGTATGGACACTCATAGCATGGGTATTCACATGAATGTATATCATATATGATACGAGATTATACTATGAAAATACAGACCCGTTCTATCGCCGGCGAATAATATTGAAATACTCATGCGAGTCTCATATTACAATTTTTCAAAAGAATCGGTTATCCATTAAACTAAACTTCCACTGAAAGCTGTATAATAGAGCCAAATAGAATTTGTAAAACGTAATGAGCATGCCTTCCGAATTTTGACAATTTGACAAGGAAGCGACCTTCGGTACATATCAGCAAATAGAACTAGAATGGCGAAAGTAATCTAGATAGCCACTGTGGCAGGTGGCGATGTTTCTGTCTTACTGCCGATTTAACGGCCACTTTTTTTTCATTTGCGCGCGCTGCGCTCGTTGGAGAAACCACACATTTGTGCCGGTGCTTCATTCTTTAAACAGGAGAGTTAACTTCAAACGCTAATTGAAATTTGTAGAGTGCGCGAGTCTACTTGAACGCGAAGCCAATGCCAGAGAGTTTTACTTTTAGCATCGATATTTCACCGCTGCCCCTAGTTAGAAGTTTTTCGAGTAGAGCAGGTCAACAATTTTAATCCGAGCCGATCGAACGCGCGAAAAACTGTGCGGTGCAACTTATTATTATTCCTGATACGATGTTCCATCGCTGAGAGATAATAAGTCTCGCTGATGGATCGACTTTATCGATGTTTCAGCAGATTCCACGGATTTGCTGAAACATCGATCGGTCGGGATTGCAAATATTGACGAAACATTACGCCAATTCGACGGGCATCCGCCGCGTAATGGCCGGGACGATATGCTTTAACGTAGGAGTTTCTCGCGGATGTGCGAATGCGAGACACGCGTACTTTATCGTATTCCCCCGTGTGAAAGTACAATCTAATTTATGTCGAGCTTTGCTCGCGCGCATTTCGTACGGATATACCCGATGCATGATAAATGCACTATGAAATAGTCTCATAGCTATCGTGACATCCCATTGAGCTTTTATTTGCATTGTATTTAACATTAACGTTGCCTTTGTAACGCGATATCTGAAGAAATGATACGGAATTGTAAAATGACATGAAAAATTTATTATATTTCTTTGATATCGTCTTGTGTATTAAAATCTGTGTAATTTTTTATTTTATGTAAACATTAATTACGTTAATCGACATTGTAGATTACGGAATCAAATTTTCGATTTTAATCTAAATAAAAACGAGCATGCTAAAAATTACGTGCGAGGATAAAAAATTACACGGGAAACAAATCTTTTTTTCCCGCGTATGTTCATGAGACACTTCGATTTATCGATTTATCGTTCTTCTTCGTCTGCTCTTGGCCCATATTTTCCATTCACGTATTACCTAGATCTACCATCGCTTTAAAATGTTGTCGGTCGAATAAAAGAAACAGTTAAATGAAATAGCTAGATAAATGTCGATTTTACATTGTAGTGATATTTGATCAATGTAATACTCAATCTATTATTACATATGTGTATAATCGTTTTATAAAAGAAAAACTGTTAAGCTATGGCACGTTTCACCGTTTTAGTTTTCATTAGCACTAGAAATTCGAAACTACACCGAAGTAATGGATAGGAAATTCAACTCTGGGAGAGAAAAAAAAGGTCTATTAGAGAAGAATCTAATTATAAGGAAAAAAAAATCTCGTTTGAAAAAATCCGACTTTATCAAGTAACAAAGCGGGATAATTCCTTTGAAATCCTCTAATGATAAAACGATCGCTTTTCCTTAATAAACTGTTAAACGATTGTGTTCGCGAAACGGTTAGTGCTTTAAAGACGGACGAACGGACAGCCGAATGTCGAACGGCGATTGATACGTGCGAGGGACATACGATTCATAAATGTTGCAGTCGCGCAGGGCACGCGCAAAGGGTTAATCCGAGGGTCCACCCGCATAATGATATTAATGTCGTGCCGGTGCTCATAATAAAAACGGCCAAGTGACGCAAATCATCGGCACGCGAGAGTGTGTCCTGTTACCGTTGGCGATAAGGACTACAATCGCGGTCGGTCGACCAGGCCGACAACTCGCTAGTTTCCATTTCGCGAGCGCTAACAAAACACCGCGCGTGTACTGCAGTTGAAATTATTCGAATCGTCGAGCTGCTCCGCTTTCCTCATGGGAAATTCCCGAAACCCGGTTACTTGCGTCGGCACGGAATTCGGTTTGGGACAGCCTTAATTCACTGCGTAAAATTGCCGGCGCTCGGAATGGAACATAGAGAGGG